TAAATCTTAGCACTTTAGGAGGCTGAGGTGGGAAGATCATGTGAGGCTAGAAGTTCCAGACCAGCCTGAGCCACATAGGGAGTTTCTACAAAGAAGGAAAAAAAAAATTAACTGGGCAGGGTGGTGGGCCCTGTAGTTCCAGCTACTAGGAAGGCTGGGGTTGGAAGATCACCTGAGCCCAAGAGCTTCAAGAGTTGTAGTGAGCTACTAGGAAGCCACCGCACTCTAAAAGAATGAGATCCTGTCTCACAACAAACAAACAAAACTCTAATTTTAAAATTTGTAGAGAAAAATATAATCAAGGCATTGGAGCAAAGGAATTTTTTAAACAAAAATCACTAATAAGAAAAAACTAAAACTTTACATTAAAACTAAAAATTCCTATTAATGAAAAGATATCAAAGACAAGCCAAGGTGTATTTGGAATAATCCTAACAGACTGAGGATTAACATCCAGAATATATAAAAGAATGCTTATATAAAAGAAAAGGCAATCCAATTCAAAAAGAAGCAAAAGACATGAACAAGCATTTCACAGAAGAAAAAATACACAAAAGACTACTAAAGAAATAGGGAAAAAAGGGTGTATCCTTACCAATGATTACTAGAGCACATATCACAAAAGAACAAGATGTCACTTCACACTTAGCAAAAATTTACAAGTGAGACAATAGCACCCATTTAAGAGGATATAAAAGAGGACTGCTGGTGGAAACATTGGTATAATCGCTTTGGAAAACAATTTAGCATAACCAAATAAAGCTGAAGATGCACATACACTATGAACCAGCAATTTCACTCACAGGTATATCTGCTGAACTGTTTTCTGTCTACCTTTTTTTGAAAATTATACGGGCTGAGCCACTGTACATATTCCACAACCAACTCCTGAGTTGTAACCCACAGACCAGCCTGCAATTTGAAAAATCACTGCTCTAGAGTTGCCCCTCAGGAAACTTTTCTCTCGGGACCTTTTTATACTCTTTAAAAAATTTAGTGAAGTGTGCTACTGTTTGACATCTTTGCAAATCTCTTTTTTAATGTCTGGCTTAAAATAAGGATGTTGGATTCTCTTAACTGCTTTTGCTTTCACTGTTAGATATGTTATTTTGGTTGAAGTATACAAAGGAGATCTAGTCTCCCACAAACATGCAATTGGATATAGAGAAATCTTGTAGACTTCCTGAGAGGGTCTCAGACACACTTCAATATTATATATTACTATGATCTTAAAATCTATGGTAGTGAGTGGGTGTGGAGCAAAGGAGGAACAGGAAGATGCAAAAAGGGGGCATGAAGGTATTCATTTTATTCTCAAAAATAAATCTTACAAGGGTGTTGGTTATTGGGAAAATAATAAAAGGCTGAAAGACAATATTGTGTATTTCAACACTATGCTGCCCACACTTCTACACAGCAGTAAATTCATTATGCCCAGAGTTGTTCTTCTGCCCTTTCCACCAGTGAGTTGATACACAGTAATCAATCAATGTTACCTGCTGTTGCTACTCTTCTTGCTGCTTTGCAGCCAAACAATACTTAAAAAGACCAATTGAAACTTATTGCCTATTTCCATAGTGTTTACATTTTGAGATTTACATGGTCTCTGCTTCCTAAAGACTATTATTTGTGAATCTACTTATTAAAAATCCTTGCCTGGAAAAAACAAAACAAAACAAAACAAAAACAAAAACACCTCCATATACTACAACTAGGTTCGTGTGTTTATCAATGCTAAATACATCTGAGGTGTTAATGTTCACAACCCTGAAATCTGAATGAATAGTCTTTGGAGTTCATGCTGTAGTTTAAAAAAATCTTTTTATGTTGTTTTATTGCTTAGCTGTTTGTTAAGACAAAGTGCTTTCACAAGTCTGTTGGAAATGGTAGCCTTATTTCTGATGGGGCATCTAAGCAGGGTCATTTCTTACACACCAAGAAACCAACTAAAGTTAGTCATTTTTGTTTTGAGAAATAGCTTCCAAATTAGACATTTTGATGTAGCAGGTCAAGTTAGTTAAGAAGGTTGTTATATTTTGATTTGTAAAGATTCTAGATATTCTTAGCACACTCTTAATCCACTTTAAGTTGAGTTTAGCACAATAAATATATATGGTTTTCTCTTTAACACTTTTTGGGATTTCTGTCAAGACTACCATAAGGACTCAGGGTTGACTATATCCCAGTACCACTGCTGGGCTAGACTGCCTTGGCATAGTGCAGCTCAATTCAACTTTTATAGGAGTATTCCCCTTGTTCAGTCTTCAAATGCTTAAATGTTGACGGTAGTGAAAAGCCCTTTTCTTCCAGGTTTAATTAATCACATCTCCTATATAATCTCTTCTAGGTACTGACACTTCTAATAGTTTCACTTATTTTTCTTTCCTTTTACTGACCTAATTCTTGAGTGAACTATATTTGCTTCATTCATTACTTCTCCTTAACCTCTCTAGATCTCTCTGCAAACTTGTTACCCTCATTTTGTCAAGACTTTGTTACACTTCTGGCCTCATTATCACAAATTCTAACAGCCTCAGAAAGCTGAAACTGAGAATACGTGTGATTTCCCCATGGTGACTCTACTAAGTGTTCCCTACCCTCCTAGTTTTCATGAAATTACTTTATCCTAATATTCTCCTGGCTTCTTCCCTCATTACTCCTTTTTTCTCATGTTTTCACCTACTTTTCCAATTCATCTCACCCAACTCTACCTCATTACCTTTGCTCATTCCAAAGCATCTCAAGTTTTCTGAAAGCACCTATTGTCTTGGCACATACTCCAAAATGTCTGCAGTGCCTTTTTATCTTTCCACTATTCTTGTGACAAGCAATTACAACTCATTCCATAAACAGCTAGCACCATCTTCCTGTATAGGAAATCTCCTCTAGCTTATCCGAGCACTGCTAATCTCTCCCATTTAAATTATTCTAGTATGGTAGCTTATCAGGCTACCTGTTTCTTCAAAGCAGGATTTCTGTTCTATTTGACTGTGTAATTTTAAAGCCCAACACTATTAAAGCCCAACATTTTATGCTAGGCACCGAGCATTTGCTAAACAGACATATAACAGTTCCAACTTTGGCTTTGTCGCGTTTACTAACCCTAAGTCCTTATGGTAGTCTTGACAGAAAGCCCCCAAAGTGTTAAATAAACAATCACATATATTTATTGTGCTAAACTCAGCTTAAAGAGATAGGATTAAGAGTATCCTATCTCTTCTCAATACCGCAGTTCCCAAACACTAAGCGTTCGACACTATAATTTGATAAATACCAGTGACTAAACTGGCTGGGGACTCTTGCGGAGGCAAAAACAATATTTAAGACCAGTTCCCTTGGCCGCCTCTCCAAAACGACATTTCCACATTACAGTCTTAATAATACTATGGAAAGCACGCGCTCTGGCTACTAGGATCATGCAACGAAGTTAATGAGAGGATGGGAAGGGGAGGCACTGCAGGTAAAGGAAACAGCACAAGCAATGACTAGAATGCTCGAGAGACTGCAGACGACTAACAGATGTCTACCAGGAAACGAGCGCGCCTACCTGGTCTCGGCCAGTTTCCAAGAGGGGCCGTTACACCCACGTGACCAGAGGAGCTATGTTTTCTCAGACCAGCAAGTGTGGTACAGTTATTGCACCCCAGCTTTGGCAATGTGCAGCAACCTGGCCTACTATGCCAAGACGTGAATGAAGGATGGGGAATGCAACGGGCCAAGCCAGTTTCCACTGCAAGCCAGAAGGATGCAGCCTCGACAGAGCAGTGAGCGGAAGCCAGGGTGGTGCGAGCCGATTTAGGCGGGTGCTCCCTCATCGTCCTCCAGGATGGGGCCACAGGTTGGACTGACGAGCGCACTGAAATGTGAGGAAACGCCAAGAGGCGCTGGGAACGTCAACTGCTTACCGAGAACTGAGAACCAGAAGCCGCTGAGACCGACGCTGCCGCCATCTTTCTGCCTGCCCAGGGGTACCTCGCTGCTCCGGGGCGGTCTAGGGTTCTTGTGCTCTTATTCTAGACTTGGGAGCCGCCCACCAGGGGCGACCCTAAGCCCAACCCCGGATGGAAGGGGCAGGGGTGTTGGTACCGGGTTTAGAAACCCCTGCCACAGTCTCCCTCAGGGACGCCCACGCTCACCGAGCACAGAGAGGGCCACACGTCCTAACGGACGTCTTCCCTAGCCAATCAAAAAGCAGACGTCTTCCTGTGTGGGAGAGAACCCGCCTCTTCCCCCGGTGACGTCACAAGGTAGCGCGCAGCTGAGCCTGCTGGGGGTCGACAAAGCTGCGGGCTGCCAGTCGGCTCCGAGGGGATTCTACGGAGGGGCGGGACATCTCGAGGAGGAGATGGGGGCGCGGGGTAGTGTTGTCGCCAGTGGCAACTGAGTGGAATGACTGAAATAGAATAAAAGCGAATGCGAAGTTCAGACACTCCATCGGTTCATTCGGACTAAATGCTGGAGAGAGCGTGAGTTTGACTTGGGGACGCCTCTCCAGGTGAAATACTTACCTTTCAGCCAATAACAAATACGATTAGGAGGGGCTTAATGATTTGGTCCAATAGAAGTCAAGGGGAAAAAAGTAGCGGCAGAGAGCGAACCTTTCGCGAACATGTGCCCAATTGGATTGGGGCACTCTCACCAAACCTGGGCCTGGCTGCTAGAACCGGCCGCGACCAGGCCCTTTGGGCGGGGCGGGTTTAAAGCAGATTTCGCGCGCTGAGGGCATCGGATTGTCATTGGCCAGTGACATCCTCCTTTTGTGGGCGCTCCCTGCGTAGCCAGACTTCGGGGTTGGGCGGAGTGACCGAGTGACGCGATAGCCTCCGCAGCCAATCAGGGGTGGGGAAGGGAGGCCGAGAAGGAAGCGGATCCGCGGCCGCGCAGCTAAACTGCCACCAACTATCCGCTTCGTCTCCCTCCGCCACTATCGGGGCCTAAGCGGGAGCGGCTGGGACGGCGTCACTGGGTGGGCTGGGGCGGAAGTGGAGGCGGAGGGAGACGGCGGCGTCGTCCGCGGGGCCTTGGGCTCTGGCGGCGAGGCCCTGGTGGGCGCGAGGCAGGGGGAGGGGGAGGAGGAGGAGGAGCCCGCGGCCCGGGCGGCGGCGGCTCTCGAGTTCCCCGTAGGGCTCCGCCTCGGAGCGGGCGGCGGCGGAGGAGGAGACTGAGGAGCAGGATGGCGGCCTCGGCCCTGTATGCCTGCACCAAGTGTACCCAGCGCTATCCCTTCGAGGAGCTCTCCCAGGGCCAGCAGCTCTGCAAGGTCTGTAGGTGCCGGGCGGCGGGCGGGCTGGGTGTCCTCGGCCGTAACCCGAGGGGGCTGGGTGTCCGCTGCTCCGCAGCCCTTCTCCCTTTCCCGGCGCCTCAGGGGTTTGGGAGTCTGGAGCCCTCGCCTCCCCATCCGGGGACCCCTTTTTCCGAGGGCCTGGGCATCAACTGAGGAAGGCCCCTGAGAGGGAGACAAAATCCTGCCTTCTTCCAGGCGGCCCAGGAGGGGGCCGGGCCCCTTCAGCGTCCGGGGGTCTCAGGGGTGGGGCTGAGTGAGGCAGCCACCTGTCTATGCCGCAGAGACCCTGAGGTGGAGATGTTTTCATCTCAGTTTTCTGCCTGGTCTGTCCTCTCCTTCCACCAGGAGGGCAGGGGACGGTGTTTGCACTTTCTTGCTAGGAACCCGAAGCCGCAAAGCTGATGGCATCCTTCTTCCCTGTCCAGGAAAGCGAAGCGACTGGTTTGGGAACAGAATGCTCTATGATTTGGAGCTCCTCCCATCCCATTAAAGCCGGGATGCTGTCTGTGAGCAACGGTGCAAAATAATAAGTAGTTTCACATTTAACCAATCTTTGAAATCGGCCCTGACAGCTTTCTTAATTTATCTGTAATAACCCCCCCCCAATCTAATAAAGACAAAGACACCTATGCCTTCCATAAGGAATTATACTGTGATTGGCCACTTACATAGATCCTCCGATTGTTTACGTTGGGGGCCAGGTTATTGATGCGTTTTAGACATTTGACTAGGTTCGGTAATAATTTCCTACCAGAAAAGTGAGATTTGGAACTTTGAGATACACACTGACTAATGTATTGTCTTATTGCAGGAATGTCGGATTGCGCATCCTATTGTAAAATGTACCTACTGCAGATCAGAATTTCAACAAGAGAGGTTTGTATACCGAACAGTTTTTGATTGTTAAAGACAAGCTGTTGTCTGTAAGGAACACTTGGGGGTTGTAGTCGCATATTTATATTATTTTTGTAAAATGGTCTATCCTCTGAAATTTTAAATTGTAAACCTTTCATGTATGGTAGGAGAGAGAATGTTGCCAAATAGTGGTTATTTTACAACTAGACTTCGGTCTGCCTGTGATGAAATAGAGAATAAATTATTTTGTGAAAGATGTACAGCCTTGCTATTGAAAATGCAAAAATAAAGTTACGATTAAGCTATGAAAAAATGGTAAAACCTTAATGGACCTGAGGTAAAGTCTATAGTGTTACCAACTGCCTTCCAAGGGTGAGATCTCGTAGAATAGCACATACTTTTTTAAACAGGTGATTCCACTCTGGGAGCACACACAGAAAATAGCCTAAGAGAAGAACAAATAATGTTTTCATAAGTAAGTCAGGGCATAATAATGAGAATGGCTGAGTGGAAGGTTAGGTAGGCACTGATGTGTAATGCTGTACATTAATAGTGGCGAGTGTGGAGATTTTGGAACTAGATAGGAAACATTAGGATTTTTTTGTTTTGTCTCTTTTACAAAAGAAAATACACAGTAAAAATGTCTAAAACATTTGTCTTAAGTTAATGGTCAGAGAAGTCAATTCAGGTTAAAACAGTCCTGAAAAGATTCTTATATTTGTATTTTTGAAAAATTCCTTGGTTTGTATTAGAGTAAGTTTGACTTTAGTTCAACATTGTGCTACAGAAGGCTACATAAATGTGATCATCTATATTCAATTTCTCTTTCAGCAAAACCAACACAATTTGTAAGAAGTGTGCTCAAAATGTGAAACAATTTGGAACAGTAAGTTTGTCTTATATTTTCATTGGATGTTTCTATTAGTGGTCAGATAATATTTTTCACAAAGCTGGACCTTTAAAAAAATATGTATTGTTATGTTCTTAAATATTTCAACACATCAACATTTTTTATAAAAGAAAGTTTCTGTAGATGGTTTAATGGGAAGGTGACAGCATTTAAAAATAGTGAAATTATGTATGTAGAATTTCAGGGTGAAATGTATGAAACTTTTAAAAAAATTACAGCAACCCTTGGTTATGGAGAACCTACTTATCCATAAGGCTTACAGAATCAGTCCCTCCCCACCTTTGGAACCCCCCCCCTTCGAAATTATTTTTAGGTAGCAGTACAATTTAGATATTTATTCACACAAGTCATGACACTGTCCTAGGACAAATTGTTTTACATGTATATTACAGTCATTATTGGTATATAATACCAATATTATTTATTAATAATATTGTTCAAAGTGACCTTAAGGCTCTATACTATCTTGAATTGTCTTTTGAATATGAAAGAAAATCAAGGTATTTGTGTTAGAGTTTATGTTGAATATGCTTGTGCCAATTTTTTTAAGTTGAAAACTCACCTGTATTATATATTCCTTATATGGTCTGTATCTGTTTATGATGAAAAGTTAGTTTCTTGAATAAGTGATATGGTTATTAAACTAACCAAGATGTTAAGTTAATAGAAGTTCATTTCCCTAAATTCTGGATATATGAGATTTTTTAATCCATGTGTACTTTTATTTTCATTCTTGGAGAACTTTTTCATGTGTAGTTTTTGTATTATATGACATACTATGGAAATCACACATATATTTGTCATTATTTTTCATTTAAATATTCTAATAGAGTAACAGTGAGTGTCATGACTCTAGAAATAGATAACTTGTTGAGTGAATAGAAACATGATGAATGTCATTGTGTATACAGAGCAACATACTTGACAGAAAAAAAATTTTTTACCTATCACTTTTCTTAATTCTACAGGTATGTGTGTAATACTGGTTATGTTTTATGTAGCAAATTTTTAATATTTTAAAAGTCTGAAAGGAAATGTATATCTTTTTCAGCCCAAGCCTTGTCAGTACTGTAACATAATTGCAGCATTTATTGGTACCAAGTGTCAGCGTTGCACAAATTCGGAAAAAAAATATGGACCACCTCAGACCTGTGAACAGTGCAAACAACAGTGTGCTTTTGATCGGAAGGAAGAAGGAAGAAGAAAGGTATGTTTGATTTATGTTATGACATCATTTGGAAAGTAAATAAAATACCAAACAAGTTGTAAGTTGTTATAATTAATATAGTGCTGAGACATCTATTCTTTGCGTCCCTAAAAGCAGATAGTTAGATGAAAGTGCAGGTATAGTGATTGAGTTTTTTCTTATTTGCATGTTACATAGATTAATGTTGATCAAGTAGGATTATTGTACTTTAAAAAATATTCTGTGATGGCTATTCCATATTATTTGGTTATTCCTCATTTAATTCAGCAGATTTGACTAATTACTGTTAGATAAATCTTTTCACCTGTTTACCCTTTTGTTGGTTACTTGAAGTTGCTGGTGTGAAAAAATACCTAATGGCACCTTAGCACATAAAATTCAAAGTTAGTCTTGTGCCTTTTGATATGGGCATATATTTGAAACCGTTGTTTGTTTTTCTCTACCTACAGTGACTTAATAAGTATGTGTATGCATGTGGCATTCCTCTGCTGATCAGCATTCACACAGGCCTCCTGTTGTCTATCAGTTTCAGTTGATTTGGAGGATGACTATCTCTTTGAGGGGCTCCCCCAGGTCCTCCCACAGCAATGTATGTACCCTAGTTATAAGACATGTCCCTCCAGCACTTCTTGTGTGAGCAAACAGAAGACAGAAAACTTGATTTTATTTTTACAGGTTTAGTCTTAGTAATTTTGGAAAGTAGTCTCTTTCTCTCTCCTTAGGCACTCTTACAGTTGATTCTTGGTATTTAAGGAAGTTATGCTCTATAAAGTTGCCACAAACACTGAATTAGTAAATGCAGTATTCCCCCCTTATCCTTCCAGGATATCTTCTTTCCACGACCCCCAGTGGATGCCTGAAAGTGGGGATAGTAATGAACTTTGTATATACTGTATTTTTTCCCTGTGCATACAGGCTTATAATAAAGTTTAATTTACAAGTTAGGCACAGTAATAGATTAACAATAACTGGTAACAAAATAGAACAATTATAACAATATACTATAATAAAAGTTATGCGAATGTGGTCTCTCTCTGAAAATATCTTATTGTGTTAATATGTAATAGTTTCAGACTGAGGTTGACCATGAGAAACTGAAACTGTGGATAAGAGGGGACTACTATATTGAACCATTGTCCCTAAGGGAAATACATGATTAGGTTCTTGCCTCTGATAATGTGTTGGTCAGTTGATCAATACATAACCTTATTTTTTGTGTGTTTCTGTTTAAAGACACCTCATTTACCATACTGTGAATTAATTTAATTGAACTCATGGGCCACAGCACTAATGATGCCTGAATGAAGCTTATCTGATACACATATTTTCTCCATAAGGCACATTATAGCCTTTTTGAACTTAGGGACCATAAACATCACTTCAGCGCTACTCTTTAGGACCATGTTAAACATCAAAATCACCAACAAAAAGCACAGAAACTTGAAAAACATGGCACTAAATAGACTGAAAAGGATACTTGTCTGAGAGCTAAAACAAAGAGGGCAGAGTGTCACTGTGTTCCACTTCAGCTTGCAACATGTGCTGTTGGGTGACACATATTTTTCACCACTCTGCATATGTGCAAATGGCCAGAAAAGCGCTGCAAGTCTTCATTTTTAGGGTTACAGATATAATAAGTAGGGAAATTTGCAAATATAAAATTCTAATAATGATAACCAACTATGTATGTCATTAAGGCTGTCCTGTAAATTTACAGTACTTATTGTAGTTGGAAATACTTTATCATTTTAGTAATTACATAGTGATTTAAGAATTCAAGCGATATTTCTTAGAAGTATACCAATTTATACTTACTTTCTAGCAATACAAAAAAAGGTAACATGTTTTTATTTTCAAATTAAAATGGCTTAAAGCTAATGGAGGTCCATATATCATCACCAATTATATAATAATCATCCAAGCAGGCATTTTTCCAAGTTTCAGAAAAGTTTAATTTTCCATTTTGCAAAAATCTGTGAATGTGTGTGTGCATGCATCATGCATGTGTGCCTGTGTGTGATATAATAACTGAAAGATGAGCAATTTATTTTACCTGGTTTCACTTACAGCCAGTTTATGGGTATGTTTAATCTAATAAAAATATTTTCTTAAAAGGTTGATGGAAAGTTACTATGCTGGCTCTGTACTTTATCATATAAGAGAGTTTTACAAAAGACAAAAGAACAAAGGAAGAGCCTGGGATCTTCACATTCAAATTCATCTTCTTCTCTAACTGATAAAGACCAGCATCATGCAAAACATCATCACCATCATCATCATCACCACCATCGTCACAGCAGTAGCCATCACAAGTAAGTAATTTGAAATCATATTTTCTAAAATCCTTCTTGGCATTTTAATGTCATTTATTGGTGTTTACATCTTACAAATATTGACTGTGTGCTAGTCTAGTTTCCATTGTATATGGTAAGCTTCTTAAATGTCTAAGACCTCACTTTAATCAGTGTGTAAAACCCATGGAATGTGTTTAGCTATTTACCATAATTAATAAAGATAGGACATTTAGGGAATTAATGTATAAAAGTATCATATTGTGAAGTCAAAATACAAGTACTTCAGAGTTAATAATTCAATTATTTAAGTTATCAAAAGCCTCAATATTCTTTTTTTGTTTTAATAATTGTTAGGATTTTACTTGTAAAAATTATATTTACCTCAGTTGTCATTAATTTGTTTCAGTAAAAACAAATTTAAACTAGTGACAGGGAAATATACATTTAGCCTTTTGGGAAATAGATTATAACACTATCATTTGTTACCGTGATGGAAGCATTCTTAATCTTGGAGGTCCTCAAAATGTGAGAAATAGTATTTTTAATTAGTGGTATTTAGCTTTTTTAAAAAACATATAATTAGGAACTCTGTTCAAATACAGATGACTATAGTCATCCTTCAGTATATGTGGGGGATTGGTTCCAGGACTACCTGCATAGTATACCAAAGTCTGCACATACTCAAGTTCCACTGTCAGCCTTGTGAAACTTGGATACATGAAAAATTGACCCTTCCTGTATGTAGCTTTCATATCCTGCAAATACTATATTTTTGATCTGCATTTGGTGGAAAAGAAAAAATCCACGTATAGGTGGACCCGCACAGTTGTTCAAGGGTCAACTATACTTGATTCTTTAAAGTGACTCGAGGTCGAGGGAGGTTATATAGTAGTGGTCATAACCCTTTAAGTGTGTAGTATAAAGGGCTTTTTGAAATATAATTTTGGTCTTCATGGAAAAGTCAATGTTAAAATACAAATACATATAAACACACAAATTAAAATGGAAAAAACAGGGACATGATACCCATCCATTTTTAAATTTTTCTAGGAGTCTTTAAAATTTCAGATAGTTACTTAAAACATAATTTTATTTACAGAAAACTGATGCCTACTACATTTTGGAACACATAGTGATATTTTTGGAATTTAACATAGTTGTGTCTAATTATCGAGATTGATTCTAAACTGTATGCTCTCACCAAGCAGATTATGAAGTTTTATTGAGGAAGGCACTGATGTTTTCTTCTACCACGTTGTAATACTTTCCAGGTGTGACAGTGGTAGACTGCAATGCAGTGACTTCTCTTCTGGCTGTTTTGAAGATATCTTGTGGTCTTTATATCAGAGTATCCCAAGGAGCAAAGGAACATAAATGTCTCTTGTTTTTGTTTCCTCCTTTAAAAAAAATGACAAAATAATTATATATTAATACCATAATGGCATATGTCAGATGTACTCCTAAGACCCAGCTAAATGTCTCTTTCCCATATCCTTTACAGATAAATTTGTCTTAGCATGATATGAAAGGACTCAGTCATAATCAGAATATGTTTTATGAAGATCACGTTGTGTTGATAGTAACTTAATCTTTTTGAAAGAATTGACAGTTTTCAAAAATGAGGGGAGGACAGTATTGACTGAACGATTTTTTTCCTTTTGGTTACCTAAATACAAATACTATATTGTATTTGATGACTATAGACCATGTGATGAACAGATAGTTTGTAGGGCCCTATCTTAAATTCCATAGATCAGAATGAACATGAGGAACATAATGTAGTTGATGATAATTGGTGAGGGAGTGGCACTAAGGTCATTCTGAATCTAGGAATGGACAGCTCTCAGAAAGCTAAGAGGGGAATTCAAATGTTTCTGATAAATCATTATTAATGTGATTGTTCTCACTTTGAGATCTGGTTAGTGCTGCTAATTCTTACGTATTTATATGGCATGCCAATGCTTATCATGAAATTTGTAAAAGAAACAAAAGGACAACTGAATTCCTCAGTAGGGTTGCCAGTTCATTCACAAGTAAAGAGTAAATCAGGTTGATAAAATATAGCTACTGTTTCACCAACTTAGTATTTATTTATAGGCGATTTTTAAACTTGGTCTGTTTTTTACATTTGATTAAACTTCTACAGCTGAAACAACACTAAGTTTTATACACACATAAACATATATACATATACCTATTTTGTATTTGCTAGCACTGTACTAAGTGCTTTTACATATGTAACTCATTTAATGCTCATATCCTTATAAGCTGTGTATTACACCCATTCTACATACGAGGGAACGCACTGAGGCTCAAGGCTTTTTAGTAACTTGCGCAAGGTCGCAGGTCTTCTCATATCTCATAAATTGTATAAATATGTGGTGGCTGGTTCATAGGAGAAACTATACATGTTGAGTGAATAAACTAGGGGTTAGTGAAGGATTGACATGCAAGAATAGGAAAAATGATAGGATTGATAGTGAATTATAGGGTAGCAATTACGATTATGGAGAAATGGAAAAGAGATAGTATTAATTATAAGTAAAAGTAAAATCATTTGTCACTATGAAATTTCCCAGTAGTTTCAGCATGGTTTCTCTAGGTTACTAACTAAAGTGAGATCTGGAGACTGGATAGGATTCTTAAGAAAATTAGGAAAGAATCAAAGAAATAAAGATATTTCCTTGTTTTACTTGACATACTAGTCTGAGCAATGTGAATTACTTGAAAGGAAGAATCTCCTCTTAGGGTTATTAGGAAAGCCTTAACTTTAAAGATAAAAGTTTTCTGTCTGAAATAGTAAGAGTAGCCAAAGTACAATAATTTCTAGACTTTATAATTATGGAATCCTTTTATGGTAGTTTCTTGCTCATAAACCCCACCCTTGCTATGGTGTTAAATAGAATTATGGAGATCCTGATTAAAAAGAAAATTCAGTCTCTATCACTGTACCTTTCTGAACTTAAAATGGCTAGTAGTTATTTGATTAGAATTTATCTCATTTGAATGTGATTTATTAAGTATAAATTAGTCTGAAAATTTAAATATGTCTTTCTCTGAATAAAAGCTTATAAACACATACAATTTGATTCCATTGAGAAGGAGTGCTGTTAAATGTAGATACATTAAATAAATGTTATTAGATGTTATTTATATATTTTTCAGAATCAGCAATCTAAGTCCAGAACAAGAGCAGGGACTGTGGAAACAGAGGTAAATACATTAATATATTTTCTGAAGTATTTTGAAATGTATTTTTGTGAATGTGATATCCCTTTAACTTTGTTATTTAGGCTTTGAAAAAAATCAGTGATGTTCCATAATACTTTAGGGGAAGAAGACTAACTTATCATTTGGTTCTTCCCTATTTACTCTAATTTTTCTTATTTAATGTTTTATTTCAGCCATAAATCCTCTGCAGCAATTCAGAATGAAACTCCAAAGAAAAAGCCCAAATTGGAATCTAAGCCATCTAATGGAGATAGGTAAAAATGAATTCCTTTAGTGTTGTAAAAATTATGGTTGATTGCCAGTTATTACTAGATAAAAGAATAGAAACATATATTTTCTACATTGACTTCTTTGAGTCACCTAGAAGAGTAAACATAATCAGCTAAAAGAATTAATTTTGGCAATAAGAAAGTGGCACTGAACTATATTGTTCTATTTGGGGAATAAATTTGGGTTTTGGAAAAAAAAACAAATCTGAATAGAGAACATAATCTTTGTTCTTCAAAGAAACACAAATCGAATTGTGATATTTTAAATTGACCTGCTTTGAAAATGTTTAGATTTAAAATATGAGCGTGACTTTGTTTTAGTTCATTAGCCAAAAGTTTGCTGATGTTACTGTACAAATTGGCTGCCTATTGCTTAACACTAGAAATATTGACCCCCTAAAAGCTAATACTGAATTATATTTCTGCAGGTGTATGTAATGTGTGCCATTAGTAAGGTAATTTGCCAGTTGCATCCATTTCTGTCAGGTACATATTTTTTTGCATTAGCCTTAAGGATGTTTGTGGAATTGTCTAATTTATGCAATTTGAACACCTGCTCATTTTCCTTCTACTTCATTTAACTGTGTTTTGTTTTTTTCTTTTTAGTAGCTCTATAAATCAGTCAGCAGATAGTGGGGGAACAGACAATTTTGTCCTTATAAGTCAACTGAAAGAAGAAGTGATGTCACTTAAGCGTCTCTTACAGCAAAGAGACCAAACCATTTTAGAAAAAGATAAAAAGGTAAGAACACGGTTCACTGAAGCCTGGTAAAATTTACATCTTGATTCTTGCTTAATCTTTGCAAATTTTATTAGATTTTCTTTAACAATTTGGTAATGTTTATTGTGCACGATTTCTATAAAGACAAATTACGGAAGACTGAGTTGAAATCTAGGCCATCATCTAATCAAGGTAAATAAAAATGGTCTTCAAAATTTTAGTTCTAAGAATTAACTGAGAGTTAGTTAGAATAGTAATAATTTCTGAACCTTAATTTTCAGTAAGTAATTTTAAAATAGATCTGATATCTTAATTTAAAAATGAGATGCAAATGAAATATTTTTAAAAACCTGTGATTTAAGAATGTTTATTGAAAGTAAATATACTGATCATGTATTTATATCAATCCAGATTAAGCAACTGGTGAAAGGTAATTGTATGGGAGTTTGCTGAGTGGCAGTCAATGATTAGCAGTAGGTGTCTAAAATAATTTTATAGGAAGTAAGTGTACTTTTTAGGACTCTGCTTATTAGTTCAATCAAGAGGAATATCAAATATGTTGTCCATCTAGTGAAAAGAGGAATATTAACAGAATTATAGATTTAAGGTTTTCTTGTGCTGTGAAATTAAGATAGCACAATAGCGGGCAGGCATGCAGCAGGAAACAATTTTAAAGTCATTTAGCCATACCTAGGATCAAATCCCAATTCTAACACTTTCTATGTGACCTTGAGTGAGTGCTATCACTTCCGTGGGTGTCAGTTTTCTCATTTTAAAAATGGGAGCATTAGTAGTATCTTGTAGGATGGTTGTGATGATTAAATGAAGATGCAAAGTATTTACTACAGTTTCTGGCATATATAAGTGTTCACAGGGGCTATTATTGATATTTGGTCATCTTTAAGGGAAGAACCTACTTTTGTGCTTGTTTTATGGTCCCACACTATGTAGTTTGAGCTATAGCAAATATCTTGCAGAAGAAGAACATTAAAAACATTTCTTTTAAAATTATGGAAAAGACATGATTATAAATATGTTACAAATAATCCATCCCTGAATATCCATAGTAGTGCTTCAGTTTGAGCTGGCTTTTGCTTCTGCCATTCAGTAACTTTTATGTTACATTTTCCCACACCTTGATGGTTAGTGGACTTTATTTTAATACATTTGTACCTCATCTTAAGCAAATTCAGTATATGGAAAATTAGGATTGACATATAGGGCAAAAATAGGATAGTCATGGGTATCATTGTCTTATTCTTTTTTGATTGATAGCATTTTTTTAAGTAAGCTTTTTTGGAGATTTGTTCTTTGCACAAAATTTTAACCACAAACCAGGTATATCTGCATTAACCTTGAAAAAAGTGGAATAAAATACTAAGTTTACTGCAAAATAACAATGAGTTCAAAGACAAGTAGTAGTAAGTTATAGAATATTGACTTTTTTAGATTTCTTTTTCCCTCTGTAACATAACTCTTCTGTATTAGTACAGTTAGTTGAAGTTTTGCTTTTTTAGTGTTCCTCTTTTTTTCAAAAAACAACAGGATTGAAACTATCAATGTTGTAAGGAAAATAATAATTGTAAACCTAAAATAGTTACACTTTTGCAACTTTTTCTTATAGATCTAAGACAGCCAAGTTATTTTCCTAATTGATTTCATAAACTGTTGTTCAGTGACTTCTAGAGCCAGACACTATACTAGGCTATGAAGCTACAAAGATGACACAATAAGACCCAATCTGTATCTTCCAGAAAGAAGTTCATAATGGAGTCAGCTGACAGTATAGTGAATAGAGTAGTTGTCTTAACTCATTTAGTGTGAATTGGCATTTAAGAACAGGAATTCTTTTGTAATACAGAAAGTTGAGAGAGAAAGAATTTAGTCATACTTTGAATTTGACAAAGTGAGGGTTTTTATTTGGAAAGGTAAGAGTATAAGATACCATGACTTCCTCTCTTTTTGCTATTGTATGTCTTTCAGTTCACTACCTACCAGATAATAACAAAAAAGACATGGAAACCTTTGGCTTACAAAGTGAAAAAACATTTTAAAATAACCTGAAGCTGCTTCTGCATGGTTCTGACAATGAAATTATATTACTTATTTTTTAATTTGAAGTCAAGAAATAATTGTACTTTTATGTATGTCATTTATGTGTATAAAAAAAAATTGTCACATAGCCTTCTTTGTTACTTCAAACCACTGATTTTTTTCTTTTATTTGTCTAGTTTAGCCCAAATTTTATACTAACCCCCTTTCTCATTCCCTGTTAGTTGTATATCTCTGCATTGTTCTCCATTTTAATCTCAAGGATTAGGTAGTGTTGTGTATGTAATCCTGGACATAAATTTTACAAACAATACAGCTGTTGGTTGATGTGACCATTCCTCTTTATAGTTACCCAGTATGAAACTTTTTTTTATTATTGAAAGATTATTTTAACTTGAAACTAGTTCAAATGTTTATATTAATATGAAGTACATTTTAATTGAGACATTTTCCAAGATATTAGCCATTAAGTTTTTTTGTTGGCGTACCAGTTGTCAAATTCTTTGTCCAGTGAAGTCACCTTTTTTTTAAGGGGGGAAAAAAAGGCAGCTTCACAAATGTTATACTGATGGTCAGGTATTAATTATCTTAACATTAAACTTATACTAAAGCAGATAGAATTCATCATTTCACAAAGCAAATTTTAGATAGATTGTAAAACTCAGGAAACTGCTGTTAACATCTACTTTTATAATGAAATGTGAGTTTATTATGAGGATATTTAAAATGCTATGCATTTGTGTATGTGTGCATATGTATACATATATCTGTTTTCTTTTAATCTCTCAGTTAACTGAACTAAAGGCAGACTTTCAATACCAAGAGTCAAATTTGAGAACAAAGATGAATAGTATGGAAAAAGCTCACAAAGAAACTGTGGAACAACTTCAGGTAAATGATATTATTTATGGATAATGTTAGATAAGGTCTAAGCTTAGGTAATAGCATTCATTGACTTTGATTGGTATTGGTGTCCTTATTTTGTGCATATTGTGCCTTTCAGTTTTGATTTTTTGACTTTATAATAGTTTTTAGTCCTGATCCGATTTAAAGTTGTTTGAAATCACTTGAAAGATAATTCAGTACATGAGTCCTGAAAACTTTTGCCTAAACTTGGAGTTTTTAGAGGAAAATATCATTGGATTATCTTCAGTTGATCATCAGGCTTATGCAAAAAAATTAAAAATCAAATTAATGATACTAAGTTCAAAATAAGGGTCTTCAGTAGCAATCATTCTTCCTATATCTTTCCAAATAATAGGAAGAGTGTTGCGTGTATAAAACCAACACTCAGGGATCTCAAGTGGTGGAAATTTATGCTGCATGCAGTGATGCAAGACTGAGAGTATACTTAACCTATGTACTGTGGTTTGCAAAGTGCCTAAAAGGGTGCTGCTATATGCCAACAAGTAGTGATCCACCTCAACCTCAGAATACTGCAAAGTATATTAAGCAGGATTTAAATACACAGGACAACTGTGTGGTGATTTCAAGAGCCCCCACAATAACAAAGAGGGGGTAGTACCTGATGTCTGGCATACAGAGATGGTGAACATCCATCGTAGATGCAGATTATTCCCTTACTAATAAAGCTTGTTCTCATCAAGGTTTCATACATTCCGAAGTGAGACCACACTAAATTAATTACATGTTCTCTTTGATTTTTACATTCTGACCTTTGTAGACTTCATCTTTAGTAACAGGGTTTTTAATATTAAAAAGTCTTAAGTCTTAAAAGCATAGAAAAGTTGCCAGCACAGGCCACTAAGACTTGATGAGAGAGTACAGCTTCGGAAGGAAGGAATTAATACTGCCCTGTTTTTTCTAAACATTGTAACACCAAGAGATATTTGCTATTCCTGTTATTGGTTTTGTATTCTTCATACTTCTCTGCAAATAGCCTAAGTCTAGTAGGATTTAAAACCTGTTAAAATTTGAGGTACAGATTGCCTGGTCTTAACCCTGATCTTACTATTACAAATGACTTTGAAAAGGAACCCTACATAGAACCTGGGACATAGTAGGCATTTAAATGATTTATTAAATAAGTGGTGATTTATGGAAATGCCCATCTGCCCTCTGTCCTGAAAGATTGCCCATATCATACACCAGGCTTGTTGTATATTAATTATTTTTCATCCACCAGCAAGTATTTTTAGTTTTATGATACTATTATTTTTCTCGTTCAGTTATTAATGCTGAATGATTACCTAGAACAAAAATCTTTAACCTGATGATCTCTCATGTAATGTTATGTAATGAAAGCTCTGAGGTAAATTCAGAATGGGATAACAGAATAACTGAGTGGTACTTAAACATGATTTAACTTAGTACTTCCCACTGTTCGGAAGTTAAAATCATAGTTGCAAGCACAGGGGAACCTGTTTGACTTAGCCTGATTGGTATCTTAAGCTTACCTCCTCTTGCTTGATAGCTGACTTTTCATATAGTATAGGAGTAATTAATATTTATATAGAAGTAGGACATTTTCAACATGATTTTATATATGGTATCTTATTTATTCCTTACAATAGCTCTGAGTTACATGGTATACCCATTTTATAGTTGGAACTGTGGTTATACAGTAAGTAGGGACATAGAAAGCTTCATTTTCTGACTCAGGTTTAGCTCTGATTTCCCCTGTTCTACTCTAGCTCCCACCACCTCATGTTACTCAGATTTTCTATTTCATCGTTCTTATCAGAACATTTCCCTATATCTTTTGTGTTATGGCTAGAGACTTTCTGTTACAGCTAAGTGCTGTATTTTTGCCCCACTCCCATTAGCAACCAATGATACTAGTAGGATTCTTTACTGAGGTAAGTAAACATAGTAATTTTTTTTATATGATAAGGAATGAACCCTGTAACACAAAATTCATGTTACTCTAACGGTTAGTTATTAAAATATTTTTAACTATCAAACCTGGGAGTAAGCACTGGTCATGACAAGAAACAGTTGTCTAAAATATCCCCCCAAAACTCCCCAAATTAGGTAAAATACTAAAAATATCAAATAATTCTTTTTAATTAGGTAAATGGCTAAAAGGAAAGGGGCCTAACATTTGAATGCCTTGTATGGTACCAGTCAGTGTGTCAGGCTAAGTGTTTTTATATTTTTGATTAGTTCTTTCAACTCATTTTGAGGTGGTTGATGGAGTTTCTATTTTACAAATGAGAAAATATACTCTAGGTTACATAGCAGGTAAGTGGCAGAGCCAGGACTTGAAAGCAGGATCTGTGTAATTCTTAATTCAGATATTTTTTCTTCAGATTAACATTTCTAAATGTTTTTAAATAATTTCATTGATTTTTTTCAGGGTGCAAAATGAAGTAATTTTAGGATAAAAAATTTAAATGTGCATTTATTTAAATATTGCATTATTAAATTCATTTTTAGTGTACTCAAATTAGAATAAGACACATTTGGACTTGTGTCCATTTGACAACTGATACATTATTTTAAAGGCTTTTTTCTTTATTAACAAGTAAATTTATTGGGGTATGATAAATGCAGATGGAAAATTAGCTGCATTAAAAGGAAAAACTGCTTTCAAGATGTAATATTTGAATTCTTGTATTTTATACTTAGAATATGAAAATTATAAACTCAATTTTTAATTTGATAATTGAGAAAAGATAATTTAGAGATTTACTTTTTAACCATTTAGTGTATCAGTATAAACATTTTTATATAAATAATTTACAGATCGGGCGGAGGTCTTTTTGAAGCAGATTTATAAATATACCCTTTTTTTATGCCTTTCATTAATTTGTATTTTAAAATTTATGTTTCTTAAATTTCTGATTAGTCGGTGGGCTTATTATAGTTATAAACTAAATAATATGTAGTTAAACTAAATAGTAAATAAACTAAATAATATGTAATTAATAATTAAAGGCAAATTTTAAGCTACCACACTGACTAGGACTGGTCAGCTGAGTAATAAACCAGTTGATTATGAGTGTGCTATTTGATTTCCCTTAACTGCCAGGTACATTCTCACTTGATTTGCTCTGAGTTTCTCAATCTGTTTAGTTTTAATGGGAGAATAGTTCTTTTCAATTCTTTCAGTTTTCAAAGTTTAAAATGGATATTGAATTTGAAATTGCAGCTCTTCATTATTGCCTTAGTTATTTAATAACCATTGAATAAAGAAACTCTATTAATCATGCAGCTGAACATAAAAAATGATTTGCACCTATAAGGTAGCACTGAAAATATTTGTATTTTGGAGGTCACAGGTGTTAATTAGGAAAAGTTTGATTGGAGAAGGGTGGAGAAATGGAACCACTTTAAGATAGTACAGAGAAGAAGGCAGGGTATTATCTGGTCATACCAAGCTAAAAGTAGAAGATGAAGCATGAGATTAAAAAGTGTTTGTCTGGATAATAAAAAACCTTGAAACCTGTAGAGGACAATGTTTTCAAACAAAAGCCAGAAGATATATTTTTAAAATTTGTTAATTTTAGGGCAGTGCTCAGGTTCTAGACTATTTTCATCACTCTCCCCAGTTTGGCTCAGAAACTTCAAAAGTGCTTGAGTGTTAGTATATTTATATATATAGGAAGCCTTGTTATCTAAGTTTCCACAGTTAAGAGACTGCATAAGGTGGCAAAAGCAATTAGAAGATGAAAATATTTACTGAAGGTCCCTACATACACCTTCCTCCTTACTAAACTAGTGATTGTCATAGCATATTGGCCCAAGGACAATGTCTTTGTCATTGATGGATGGGACATTTGATAATGAAGTACAAATTAAGTTGAGGTCAGCAAAGTGAAATTTTGAATCTTTGCAGGAAAAAAATTTCAGGTTTTCATGAAATTGAAAACAGTGATGATAGGCAACTGCTCAGGTCACATCAAAGCCAGCACCCAATGACTCTATGTCAATTAAAGGAACAAGAATAAGATCAGAAAAGGGCAGGTCCTGATATGGGTGCTTTAAAAAATTGAGTATAATTAAGAGTGCCTTTGGCAAATGGATGAATTCCAAGTACTTTTTGCAAAATGACCTCTTAGCTTGTTCTACAAGAAGGAAAACATCAAATGAAAGACCTCATACAGCTTGCTGGGAAATATTCCTCCCAAATCAACACTTGATTCATTTTTTGATTTTATTGATTATAAAATACAGCTTATTTTTGTAGTTTCCATTTCATGTTTTTAAGATAAAGGGCCAAATATTTTTTCCCTACTTAAAATCTGAACCTTCTTTTAAGTGGATTCACTTTGTTACTTTGTTTCATAACCAGTTATATCTTTGGACTACAGTTAATAATGACATTTACAAAGGGGGCTAATAAACCAATCTAGAATTTCCTTTTGCATATTCAGCCTTAAAGAGATGAACCTAAATGTACCAACTCTTTCATTTAATTTGTTGGTGTTTCAGTAAAGTCTTTTGCCATGTAAATGGAAAGAACAGTATTAAATAAGTACTATTCTTCAGAATAACTCTTAATAATGTTTCAAACATTTTTAATCTTGAATATTTTTGTCTTCCACAGGCCAAAAACAGAGAACTACTCAAACAGGTCGCAGCATTGTCAAAGGGTAAAAAGTTTGACAAAAGTGGAAGCATACTAACATCTCCTTGAGAAAGCAATTATTTGTTTAGTGTTTCTGCGTACAGTGTAAATTTGGGGGTGGGGGGAGAATTCTGTGAAGCCCTAAAATTCTCTGTAGTGGAAAAATATTTTTGCACACCAAATGAATTGGCGTGTTTCCTATTCACTTTTGTAATGGATATACAGCATTTTTTAAGTTGTAAAACATTCAAATAAAACTTCAACTGGTTTGAAGTAACTTTTTAATTATTTGATATCCAGGAACTTTTTTGCCAGCAATAGTATTAAACAGTTGTAAAGGAGTGCATGAGTAGTGCTCTTTATAAAACTCAACATGCAATAATAGAGTAGGTGTGGTTTTAAGAAGTCAAAGCAGCAGGGTTTTTTTGTGTTGTTTTTTCTTCACTATGCTAATTTGAGATAAACAGTTTTCAATTTAGAAATACAAAAACTTTTAAACAAGAAAAGTAGTAAACACTGGTTTTTGGGGAATTGTGTTTTTACTTTTCATCAACATAAATTTAGGAAAGAATCATGGTGCTTCTATTAAATGAAAAGAATATATGTAAATATGTTTTTAAAAGTTACATCATTAACATTAGTAACCTAGCATTTTCATTATTGGTATAGGAATTAATGTTTATTGTACAGTATTCAAGGTAAAATGTGTTTGTTTTGTAAAAACTACTGTAGATTTTTACTTACAAGTGCCTTTTTGCCAGCTAATGTTTTTATTTATAGGAATGCTGATCTTTTGTACATAGTTTGTTTTAAAATCATGTTTAATAAATGTTTGTATATAAATGAATATGTACAGAACCCTATTTCAAAAGGAAATCAAAGTTGCTAGTAAAATGTTTGAGGTTGCATTAAGAACTAACTCAAAATGCATATAGACTTTAGAAGATTTTGTGGTTTGTTTCTGTGTGATAAGGGAAGCTGCTCGTCATTGAATTCATTTAATTATGTCAAAATACTTCCCCAAAGATTTAACTTTAAGTCACTTCCAATAGAGTAATTTTATTTTTATGTCATACGGCTTCATATTCATATTTCATGAGTTACATATTTTGCTTTTTTTTATAAAAATTCTTTAAAATTTATAATGTTTCTATGATGGTTGATATATCTGCTTTCCCTATAATGTGTGGTTATCTAAGTTAATATTTATGTATATGATACTTGATTTGTAAATTTAAGGCAAATCTGGAAAAAATTAAATAACTTTTTAATCCAGTCTGTGATTATCTTTGAATAAATTGGAATCTATAAGATTCAGACACTATTTATAAGTAAATTGTCTCAAAGTCTTTAAAATTGTCTGTAACAGGTTAAGGTAGGGTGGAATAGGTTATGTGAAGTTAATGACTAATTACATTCTGATCTAGTGGTTTTCAGCATGTAATGGAATTGATCTACGCATATTGGTTCAGATTTTAGTGCAATTTTAAAGCCTCAGACATTGCTAGAAACACTGTAAAGTAAAAGAGTTTCTTTTAGGAGTTTATGGGCAGAGATAATTTGTTTCAAGTAAAACAGTTATTAAATATAGCAGTTTTGAAGGTTTTGTTTTAAGACAAGCATTGATTATGTCATATCAAAGATTGGCTTTCTTAGCACATGATTATAACAATTCTTTTTAACATGTGTGTTTCTGTAGACTATTCCTATAGTTTATTATAAAGTGATACCAAATAATTCTTTGTCCAATTTGGAAGCATAATATAGGTTATTTTCAAGTCATAGTAAAAGATTCAGTGAGAATCTTGGAAAAATTAGACCAGTTTATTTTTGAGATCTTTATGTAATAATCTTAAATTTACTCTCAACCATGATAGATAATGCCTTAACACGGATTTTAATGTTTGCAGGATTCGCTAAATTCATAAGGTAGTTGTTACCTTTCTTTAAAATTTATAATGTTTTATATTGTTTTATAGCCATTTGTCAATCCACAGTGGTCATTATGGTTTTACTGTGAATAGTTCTTATACCTTGTTGAAGATGCTACAAAAGAAAGTTGCCCTTCCCTTTAGCTAACATTAAAATTGAAAATTATTTAATTTTAATGTTAGCTAACATAAGCAGTCCAAATAATTAAGTTTTGTAAATTCCAAGGCTAAAACCTTTTAGTGGCTTCACAGTATTTAGTCATAATTAAATACCCTCTCTTTGCTTCATGATCTTATTTTATAACTTAAATTTTTTGCAATTGTATAAACTAATAATTGAGTCCCAGTCCTGGATCTGTAGTGTATTGACATAATGAGCTGGTATTCTTTAAATGTGGATCTGTAAGGAGATACTATGGTGTGCTGTATTGTGCTCTTAGCCTGTTTTCCACTATTAATTAGCATTTACCAGTGAGGGTCATTTGGCTCCAAGTTATTTATGTATTAATAGCCTGTGAATATTGCAGTCCTTTTTAGATTATATTGGTCTAAATATGCATTCTGCAGTGAACCTGCTAAGCTGTTCACATGTATAGACTATTGAAATACTGTACTTGTACAATCTGACTGTTGACATTTTGTACTTTTTTCTAAATCCAATATTTCACAATAAAAACTTGTCAAAGGCTTTGTATTAGTTTCCTATTGCTGCTGTAACAAATTCCTACAAATTTAGTGGCTTAAAACAACACAAATTAATTCTCTTACAGTTCTGGAGGCCAGAAGTCCAAAATCAGATCCACTGGGCTGGAGTCAAGGTGTTGGCAGGGTTCATTCCTTCTGGAGGCTATAGGGGAGAATCTGTTTCCTTGCCTTTTCCAGTTTCTAGAACTGCTGCATTCTTTGTATTCATTGGCCCTCCATCTTCAAAGTCAGAAGTGTAGCATCTTAAAATCTCTCTGCTGCTGTCATCATATAGCCTTCTCTCTTTGGTTATATGATGGGTCTACCTCTGTTCTTAGGAGGACATTACCTCCATCTGGATGAACAAGATAATCTTCCCATCTGAGTTCCTTAACTTACAGTGACATCTGCTAAGTAAGTCCCTATTGTCATATAAGGTAGTGTATTCACAGGTTCTAAGGATCAAGGCATGGACATCTTGGAGGACAATTATTGAGCCTACCATAAACTTCATCTACATTTTCTCCCTTTTTCACTGTGTGAAGTCCCAAAACAACAGATGTGGAAGAAGTGGTTCAGGCCAAACATTAGAAACTATTTTCCTGGCTATTTGTTTAGACCACTTAAGTGCAAGTTATTTTCCTGGAAAGATGTGATAAGGATATAATTTTTTTATTTAATTGAGCTATTTCAAATCAACAATGAAATTAAGCTATGTATAGTTTTTGAAAACTTTGGAACATGACTAGTGCCATGTAGGTGGTTTGATAGGATAAAAATCAAAGACATGATTCTTTAATTTATAGACTAATTGGGAAAACTACATGAAAAAAAAAATGTAGAACCTAACTTTGGTATTATAAGGTACAATAAAAAGCTAATAGCTTTTAGCATGAGCATTCTAAGAATTGTGGGAAAGGTATAGTCGATGGTTTCTCCAAATTTAGTATTCATCAGAGTTACCTCAGGGCTTGTTAAGCATGTGTTGCTGGACCTCACCCTCAGTTTCTGATTCAGAAGGTCGGGGATGGAGCCCACAATTTGCTGATGCACTGGCCCAGGGCCCACAATTTGAGAACCAGTATTTCAGTATTTCCTGCATTTCCCATACAAACTATACCACTGGGTGCGTAATAGTAGACAAGGAGTAGTTTCTCTTTACACTTAATGAAAAAGGAAGGATGGAATTACCACCATTTTGCAGTGTCTAATGAAGATGAGCATTGGTCATCAGATAACCAAAAGTATACAAAGAGTTTCTTTTATCAAGTGCTTTCTGATGGTGGAATACACTGCAACTATCTATAAAGTCATTTTGCCAAAGAGAATTAAAACCTAAATCTGATCAAGCATCTACCAGTTAATAGGCAATAGGACAAGAAGAAGATCATGTTGAATGACACCAAAAGGATGCAATTGGCACAACTGTTTCTTCAATAAGTTGCAAAGGGGGTAAAGAAACTATAGCATAAGAGGTACTTGGCAATATCAACCAGTCATAATGTGTGGATCTCATTTGGATCTTGAATCAAAAAAACTTTAAAAAATATTTTAACATTTATGAGGCAGTTGGAAATTTGAACACTGGTTATGTAATGATATTAAGGAATCACTATTAACTCTCCAGCTGTGATAATGGTATTGCAGCTGTGTTTGTTTTTTTTAAAGAGTCCTTCTAGAGATACTACTAAAATATTTGCCATGAAATGGCATGATGTTTGGTACTTGCTTCAAAATAATATAGGAAGGGAGATGGTTGGGAATATAAATGAAATAGAACTGGCTATGATTTGGTTTTTGGAACTGGGTTGATGTATATATGGTGGTTTATTATATTCAACTTGTGTACTTTTTTTCATAATAAAAAGTAACACCACTGCCATCACCCCTGCCAAATAACGCTCACCTTAACTAATACATGCTCACTGAAAATATGGACAGTACAAAAAAAGTATAAGAAAAAAAAAGACAACTCACAATTCTACCTGGGAATATTCATGTTTCTGTTTTGTATGTTTTCATCCAGCATTATGAGTAGTGGCTGTGATCATGACAGTATAACTTTGGCTCCTGTTTTCATCCTTTTCCCCTCCCCCTACATAACAACGGAATCGTTACATTAAAAAAAAAAAACTATTTGTTGTTATTTTATAGCCATACATAAGAGGCAGTAGAACCTAGTATTAGAGACTGCTATTTTTGGAATAAAATCTGGTTTCAAATCCAGCTCTGCCATTTGCTAGCTAGATGTCTTGGGGTATACTTCTTAGTATCTGAGTTTTGGTTTCTTCATCTGTGTAATTTTATGGTTCTTAATGACCATTAAGTACATTATTAATATACAAAGCACTTTACGTAATCTCTGACACATAGTTGAGTTACAGTATGATTAGATAATTATCACAGATGGTAGCAGTCCTTGGCCTGTTAGGAACTGGGCCACACAGCAGGTGGTGAGTGATGCGTGATAGAGCAAAGCTTCATCTGTATTTACAGCCACTCCCCAGTGCTCATATCACCGCATCAGCTCCGTCTCCTGTCAGATCATCAGCGACATTAGATTCCCATAGGAGCGTGAACCCTACTGTCAACTTCGTATGTGAGGGATCCAGGTTGCACACTCCTTAAGAGAATCTAGTCCCTGATGATCTGAGGTGGAGCTGAGGTGGTGATGCTAGTGCTGGGGAGCAGCTGCAAACACGGATTATCATTAGCCGAGAGGCTTGACTGCATAATAAATGTAATGCACTTGAATCATCCTGAAGCCATGCTTCCTCCACCTCCCCCGTCTGTGGAAAAATTGTCTTCCATGAAACTGGTCCCTGGTGCCAGAAAGGTTGGGGACTGCTGATTTAATCAATTAAAAGTCTAGAAATGTAAAATGAAGGCTAACTGCTTTTTCAGCTTTTTCAAGCATGTCTCTTGATACATCTGATGACAGTAGAATATTAGGGGTGACTAATGGCTTCATGGTTTTCAGCGATGGAACCAATTTTCTTTTGTAAAATAAAATCAAGAGCCCCAGTATATAAAATAAAAACTGAGACACTGGTTGAAGGCAGGGCAAGATCAATATCACTTTCATAGGAGGACCCAGCAGGGCAAATGCTAGTGTCTAAGTCCTTGATACTGCTACATAATTTAAATATAATCCATAGTCATTTGAATTATATCTGAGCTTTCGCTACTTTTGCATTGAGAATCTCAATGAATAGTATTTTATTGTATGGACATTTTCATTTCAGAGGGGTGAATTTCCTATTAAATTTCAATATGAATTGAACATGTATTATATACTGTGTGCTATTCACTGTGCTGGTTGCTACAAAGATGCAAAGACAAACCTTATTCTCAGGAAAGAGACAGCCAGGTAAATTATTATAGAAAGTATAATAAATTACAAATATTCACAAATGCTTACATTAGGGAGGGAGTTACTAAGATGAAGCCATTTTGTATAAAGAGAAAAACTATGTGCAAAGGTCCATGATTTACAAAACATCACATTTGCCTGTGTTTTGCCTACCTTTCTTGCTGCTTGCAGTTTCTTTTGTTGGTTCCTTCTCATATCCCTTACATGGAGTGGTTAGAGTTGCTCAGGGCTCAGTCTTACATCTCTTCTTTTTTGATCTTAAACCTATATTCACTAGGCAAGCTCATTAAACATTATCTACAAGTCTAAGAACTCCCAAATTTACAATAAACAATAAGCTTAGACCTCTCTGCTAATTTCCAGACTTAATACTCAACACATCTTTACATCACCTCTTGGGTGTCTAACAAAGGCTCTCAAATTTAACGTGTCCAAAATTGTGTGGTCCTTATGTGCATGCCCAGTCCAAACAACTGCCAAGCCAGTCCATTGCTGTCTTCCCATCTCGGTTAATGACAACTCAATTCTAGCTGTTCAGGCCGAAATCCTTGATGATGTTCTTGACTCTTCCTCCTTTTCTCACTACATGGCTATCCTTTCAAAATTTCTGTCAGCTCTAACTTCAAAATATATCCAGGATTTGACCACTTGTCACTATCTCCACTGCAAAGTGATGTTTCTGTTGCCTGATATGTAGTCTCAGCAGAGAAGTGATCCTATTAAAAAGATGTCATATCATGCTATTCTACTCCAGTGGTTCTCCACTGAAGGTGATTTTGCTCACCTGGGGACATTTGGCAATGTCTAGAGACATGTTTGATTATCACTGCTGGTGGGCTTGGGGAGGGGTTGCTACTGTCATCAAATAAAGAGGCCAGGAATGTTGCTAAACATCCTACAATGCGCAGAATAGCCCTATGCAATAAAGGATTGTTTAGCACAAAATATCAGTAGTCTCAGCAGAGGTTGAGAAGCTCTGCTGTCTTAGTTCATTGGGGCTGCTGTAACAAAACACCTTAGATGGCTTATAAACAACAGGCTGGGAAGTCCAGCACCAAGGCACTGGCAGATTCCATGTGTGGTGAGGGCCCATTCCTCATAAACAGCACCTTTTCATTGCATTCTTACATGGTCGAAAGGGCAAGGCTGGGGCCTCTTTTATAAGGGAACTAATCCCATTCATGAGAGCAGATCCCTCATGACCTAATCAACTCCCCAGAGTCCCACTTTCTAATACCATCACCTTGATAATTAGGATACAATATGTACATTTTGGGGACGGAGGGGGGGACACAAACATTCATACCATCCTACCTGCTCTACTCAAAACACTAAAATTGTCTTACATCTCAGCCCTTACAATGGCCTAAAAGCCCTTGACTTTAAAGCAAATCTTTATACCACACTACAGCTTATATAGTCCATCCATGAAGCAGCAATTCCCCACCTCTTTTCTTCTTTAGCTCTGTAAATATTAAGAGGAAATGAAATGTATTTAGATTTTACCTTTTTTGTTGAAATTCCTACATATTTCCACTAGGGGGAGCGCTTCACTACTAAATAATACTATACAGTATTTTCATTGCCTGCATAGCCATCGGAGTTACTGGATTCAGAACAAGCATACTCAG